GTGAAGGGAGACTCAGGAGCCTGATCCTGGCCCGCCCCACAGGGACTGGCATGGCAGACTCAGCCAGACGCACACACGGGGTCTGCAGGGCCAGCTGTCCCCACGCCACCGCGGCAGCTCAGAGGGCTAGACCCACGCTGTTGCCCCTATCTGCGCACTCGCTCAGCACTCTTTAAGGGCTTTTTTTAGGAGGCAAAGTGCCAACAATATTTCAGTGTCGGTGGCATGCCAGTGCCCCGTCCGTCAGTGATGGCATCCCAGCACAGGAGTGTGCGGCTGTCCAGGACCCGCGGTGGGGCGGGAGGCTCGAGGAACAGAAGGCTGGGAGGGCCCTCGAATTGTGCACGAACCCTCTGGGCATCCGAGTCCGCACAAACTTGAGGGCCTTTGCTAGTGGGGGGAGCTGTGCCAGCCGCGCCTTCAGCTGCAGCCCGCACACAGTGCCCACACCCGGGCTGCGGTGGAAGCGAAGGACCAGGGAGGCGCGCCGCGTCCCCAAGTGCCCACCCTGCGGAGGAAATGGTCCCGGCGCCTTCTCCTGACAAATAGGGCGCGCGCAGCCGGGACGCGCAGGGAGCAGGTCGTTGGATGAAAGAGCAGCGCGCGGAGCAGCGAGCCGTGTTGACAGTGTCCCGCGGAGGGTCTGGAAGCGGGTGTTGGATGGACGCGGGGAGATGGGGCTCGAGCGGCGGCGGCAGACGTCGCAGGGCAGCGGGGTGAGGGCCTCGGTGCGGGCACAGCCCTCGGGGCGGGGCGGGGCGGGGGCGGCGGAGTGAGCGACCCCTAGCGGAAGGTAGTGGCCATGCTCGTGTCTCCCCCGCCCACCCCCACTCCCACCCCCACCCCCACCCCCACCCGCGGGAATGAATCCTCGTGCGCCCTGTGGGCGTGACTTCAGCCGCGTCGGGCGGCTCCTCGGCGGAGGTCGGGGCCGGGGCCGGGGCGTCTGCCGCACGAGGGGGTCCGTTACTGCGAAGGGGCGGGGGCCTCCGGCGCCCTCCCCGTCTCCTGGCAACTGGCCTTGACCCCGCCCCCTACTCGTAAACAGGAAGTTGGTGTGCGCTTCCTGCGCGCAAGGGGCGGGAGCGATTGTGAGCAGCGGCGGACGAACCAATCGCGGAAGACGAATGGCGAAGAGCCAATCGCGGGGACCGGAGGGTCTGGAGCCCGAGGCGGGGCTTGTGAGGCGGAGCCAATCGCGGCGACCCGGAGGGCGGGGCGGGGCGGGCCGGCTGGCGGAGGGCCGACGGGTGGCGACGGCGTCCTGATCGGGCCCTGGTCCGGGTGGGCGGCGGGCGCGGCGATGCTGCAGCTGCGAGACTCGGTGGACTCGGCGGGCACGAGCCCCACGGCGGTGCTGGCGGCCGGCGAGGAGGTCGGGCCGGGCGGCGCGGGCGGGGGGCGGCCGGACGCGCCGCTGCGGCAGACGCTGTGGCCGCTCAGTGTCCACGACCCCACGCGCCGCGCGCGCGTCAAGGAGTACTTCGTGTTCCGGGTGAGGCTGGGGCCGGCCGGGCCGGGGGCGGCGGGCGGGGGGCGGACGGGCGGAGGGTGACCCCGCCCTGTGACCGCGCACAGCCCGGCACCATCGAGCAGGCGGTGGACGAGATCCGCGTGGTGGTGCGGCCGGTGGAGGACGGCGACATCCAGGGGGTGTGGCTGCTGACCGAGTAAGCGGGGCGCCGGGTGGGGCGGGCGGGGGCGCGCGGGCGCGGGGTGACCGTCGGGCGTGCCTGCCGCAGGGTCGATCACTGGAACAACGAGAAGGAGCGGCTGGTGCTCATCACCGACCAGTCGCTGCTCGTCTGCAAGTACGACTTCATCGCGCTGCAGTGCCAGCAGGTGGTGCGCATCGCCCTCCGCGCCGTGGACACCATCTCCTGCGGCCGGTTCCAGTTCCCCCCGAAATCGCTCAACAAGTAAGTGCTCAGCCGGGCCCAGCGCCAGGGCCTCGCCCCGCGCTTCTCTCACCAGCTGCAGAGCCCATAGTCTCAGTAGAAACCAGTGCGGCACTAAGAGGAATTCTGGCACCAGAACCGCTGCTGGGCTTGTAGGACCAGACAGCGTTTTACTCCGACAAGGAACACACCCGCGGGTCCGGTCAGGTCTGCTCTGCTCTGCCCGCTTTTCCAAGGCAGCAGTAGCACTGCGTTAACCAGGAGCTGATCCTCATGCTGGAGCCAGTTTCCTAAAATATGAGCAACCAGGCAGGAGTGTGGGCCACCGAGTTACACACAGTTTGAGCTCCGAAGGCAAGGGCTGGAGGGAGCTCAGGAAGCAGAGAGCTGCAGGCGTTAAGCAGGCGCTGCGCCAGGAGGTGTCAGCCGCTCTACGGAGACCCGAACACTGTGTCTCAGAAAGCACGTAAAATTACTTGAGTGAATGTCAGTGCAGACACGAGTGTCTCGTGCCCGGCCAGCGGGTGGGAAACGGCCCTTCTCTCTGGAGGCTGCTTACTCCCAAGGCCACAGGCCTTGTCTTCAACCACAACCGGCTTTTGCACGTCACACCCATCACTGAGCCGCTGCCGGGGGAGGCCGTGGCCTGCTGGTGAAGTCGGATTGTTTCTCTAACCCCGCAGGCGAGAAGGCCTGGGCATTCGGATTCAGTGGGACAAGCAGAGCCGCCCCTCCTTCATACACAGGTGGAACCCCTGGTCCACCAGCGTGCCCTACACCACGTTCGTGGAACATCCGATGGCGGGTGCGGATGAGAAGACGGCCTCTCTGTGCCAAGTAAGAGCCCGAGGCTGCAGCACCGCCCCGGGGGTGGCGGGGTTCTAGGCCTGCACTGCCTGTTGTGGCGGCCATACGTGGCTGCTGAGCACTGAGTGGGTAGCAAGACAGAAACACGCTCTTAATTCTCAGTGGTGTTAGCCGACTTAGGGTTAAGCAGCCCATGTGACTGGCAGCCACTGGTCATCCCCACTTCCTAAGGTAGCCCTTGTGGCCGAGATTGTCTTGGGAAAGGGCCAGAGAGCTTTGGGGCAGGGCAGCTGACCGGCCTGTGGCAGCGCCAGGCAGTCTGTATGCTCATCACAGGAGGCGTGGCCAGTGGTGAGGGCAGTGCCGAGGCCCGGGCAGGTCACCCACTAGCCGCCCGGCACCTGGCCTGCTTCCTGGCTTGGCGGTGGTGAGGGTTGGTAGCACGCTGTGGCCAAGCCGCTCAGGCCTGTGGAGAGCGAGGCTCCGGGTCCTGGCTGTCGCCCAGCACAGTGAGCACAGCTGTGATCCGAGGCTTCCAGAGCCCACTGAGCAGGCAAGCAGCGGCCACAGGGAGGGGAGGGCTGGGCTGGTGCGGGCCAGGGGCCAGGGGCAGCGGCTTCCTTCCGTGGCTCACTCTGACCAGCTGTTTTCTCTTTCAAGTTGGAGAGCTTCAAGTCTCTGCTGATCCAGGCTGTCAAAAAAGCCCAGAAAGAGAGTCCTCTGCCGGGACAGGCCACCAGCGTGCTGGTCCTGGAGCAGCCGCTCCTCATCGAGACCTACGTGGGGCTGATGTCCTTCATCAACAACGAGGCGAAGCTGGGCTATTCCATGACCAGAGGCAAGATAGGCTTCTAGGGCTGCAGCGCCTGGGAGAACGGCTGGGTCGGCACAGGCCTGGGGCCAGCTCGTCCTGCGGGCCGGGTACTTCCCTGTAGGGGTGAGTGGGGTTACAACATAGTCACATGACTTGTATACTGGAGGTGGGTGTGGACACGTGGTCACCCGCTAGACAGGCACAGACTGCATGCAGCTGTCCCTGCTGGCCGCTGCCACCTCCAGGAGCTCCCTTTGGGCCTCTCCTTCCCCCGCCCCCACCTGCCTGTTAATAAACGTGCTGTGGTTGCACTGGAACATCCGCTGGCCGAGCTGGGCAGTCGTCACCCCGGGGGGGACCACACACCAGTGCCTGCGTCACAAGTGAGTTTACACTTGTGTCCAGCCGTGTATTCAGGCACATGATCCACGTTTTAAAGCTAAAGACAAAAGCCAGCAGCCTGGTGCGGTGAGCAGGGGGAAGCCTGCGTCAGCTCCGGGCGGGCGGGCAGCTGCTGTGTGAGCAGGTGTCGGATCTGAAGTTCACCGGCACCTTCTCACCCAGAAGCTGCAGTCCCTGCAGGCCGCTCCTTGGTTCGACGCCCCCGAGCAGTCCGCCCGCCAGGACAGCTGCTGTGCTCTGGGTTTGTGTTGTCACACTCGTGTCTGAAAAGGGAATAGCTTTGTTTGCTCTTAGAGTACTTTAACAAGGAACCGTGTTCTCAGGAAGCAGCGCCCACGCAGATACAGGCTTCGCCAGGGTCTCGCCTACCCACGCCTGGCCTCCCGCCCAGGGAGCACGTCCCCACGGGGACCACAGCCCGCCCTGCGCAGGTCCAGCTTGCGGCTTTGACGGGACATTTGTTGATAGGCTTGTTGCTACAGCACTAGCCGGCCGGTTCCCTCCTCACTTCCAGCCCTGGGGGGCTGGACTGGGGTGGACGGGACCCGGACGCAGTGCCTCTCGCTGGGCAGGCTGCCGACACGGCCCGGCCCCGAACCTCTGCTTTCCGTCTCGCAGTAAAGACATTGAGAATCGATTGGGTGTCGTTCCTTTTTTGAAGTTATCAAAACAAGTGCAACAACCGAGACGGTTCCTCTCCCGTGAGTGCATCTTGAAGCCCAAACTGCTTCTGTTCTCGTCCTGGGAGCCGCCCCTACTGGCAGGCAGTGAGGAGGGCTCTCAGGGCTCCTCCCCTGGTGGCCTGTCAGACACACCTGGACCAGCTGCCTACTGTGTGTTCAGGGCCACGGCTGGGGTGGAAACTCCCCACGGGACCCACTCAGCAGGTGGGACTGACCTTGACCACCACTTCGTGCACCCAGAGCGCGCCGTCTGCCTGAGACTCGGTGACAGGAGCTCGGAGCCAGCACGTGTCTGTCTCAGGGGAACCGGCTGCTGGGGACTCAGTGCTGCTCCCTAAGACACCGAACCCAGAAAACCCGTGACCAAACCCTCCAAGAAAACCAGCGTCAGCCTTTTTATGAATTACCAAACATTTAAATTACAAAATTGCAGCTTTACACTTTACATATTTACAAGAGCGCCTCGCTGTAGGGAAACAAACGCAAGCTATCTCCACAGACCACGGTTGGAGCTGCCCCGAGCCCACTCCCCACAGCTCTGCGTGTCTGCGTCCCTTCCCACAGCTGCCACGTGTCCTACGTGTGGTCGCCCAGCTGCCCGAGGGTGCCATCAGCCCCGTCCTCCGTCTCCAGGAAGCACAGGCAGAAGTGGTCCTTGCTGAGCAGGGCCAGCGAGTCCCCCGTGACAGGCCAGCACAGCGAGAGCACCTGGAAGTCCCCTGGAGGAGGACACGTGGCCGAGGGTTAGAGCGGGAGGCCAGGTCCCAGGGAGAGCAGCCCAGAGCCTGTGGTACAGGGACGGGGCAATGACCCAGCTGGAGCCCAAAACAAACCGCCGCAACCCGGTTGGGCCTCTCTCCAGAGCTCAGAGCCTCGGGCCCCCGGAGCCTGCTCACCTTCCCCGGGCACCTGCACAGACACGCAGCCCGCTGGCGACCACAGGTACACCTTGCTGCCTCCCGAGCAGATGGCCAGCCGGGGCTGCCGCGGGTCCCACTGGAAGGAGCGCACGGGGCCCAGCTGCTCCAGCACCACAAACAGCCGCAGCTTCTGCATGTCCCAGACCCACACGGCGTTCGGGACGTTGTCTGAGGGGAGACGGACGGTCCCCGGTCAAACCCGCCCCCAGCTGCCTGCTTCAGCCCCGCCCGGGCTTGCCATGGGCCCTGACGCAGCGGATGTGGGCCCCTGGGGGGAGGGGGGCCTCGTGCTCCCAGGTCTGTAGGGGCCACCAGTCACTCCGAGGCTCACCGGCCGCACAGGCATGTTCTGGTGTTTTAAGAATGACTTTTAACATGTAAAAGCCCTTCTCACAGGAAGAGGCCAGGGCTGTCGTGGGCCTGGGTCCCTGTTCACCAAGGATGGGGCGCGTGCAGGGAGGCACGGGGCAGAGGGGCCGGGGAGGACCCCTGTTTCAGGAGCGCGTGGGCAGGATGCGCAGGGGGCCTGTCAGCTGACGCCCTTTCAAACAGCTGGTGTCCCGGCCCCATGGGGCACAGCGAGTGGGCACAGCACAGTGTGGGCGCAGCACTCACCGTTCCTCGTGGCCAGGAAGTAGCTGTCGGGACTGAAGGCCAGCGCGCCGACGCCGATCTTCGGGTTTGCTCGGTCGGCAGCGGGCTTCAGCGTCTGCAGGGACACCGGCACCGTGGCGATCTCATCTAAAACACGACACCCGTCTCAGCACGGCGCACGCACCCTGGAGACGCCACATGGCCGCGATGCTGCCCGCCACAGGCAGAGCCTCTGGCCCCGACTGCTTGGTTTACACAGAGGAAGAGGTTCCACGACCTTGAAAGCATCAGGCAAAACCTGAGCGACAGAAGGGCCCGCGGGACGCTGGCGTGAGGTCCGTGGGGAGCACCTCCCAAGCGCGGTCCTGGCATTTCCTGCTCCTCCCAGTCCCAGCACCTCAGCTCACGGCCCGCTGCTGCCCACCCTCCACAGCCTCGCTCTAGACTTCTCAGATGAGAAAAGGCGTGTGGGACGCAGAAGGTTTGGGGAAGTGACATTACGCTGTGCTATTTTAGGTTCTTGTCAATTCAGGGTCACCCGCTGTGACAAACGTCCCCGTGGGGGTACCGAGAATGTGGGGGTGGGGGAAACCTGTGCCTCCCCTAAGAGCTTCTAAAAATCATCGAAAGGAAAGAGCAAGACCAGACCAGAAGCGCGAGATGCCAACGTGAGCAGCGCGCTGGGTGCCCGGCTGCCCCTGAGCGCCCGCCGAGCCCGGGGCTGCGTTCTGGGCTCCACGTAAAGCGTGTCTGATGCCAGGTCACAGGAGACCCAGGCCGCAGCCAGGACACGGAACAGCCCGCCAGCCCTTCCCACTGTCGCTCCCAACCCTCAGCTCCTCCAGGGAGTTCCACTCCGATTGAAGCAAGGCCCTTGGGCGTCAAATCGGACTCCAGGGCTGACAGTCCGTCAACAAAAGCCACACCCCCTGGGGAAGGAGCCCCGGCCACAGGGACAGGAGGAAGGACCTCTGAGGAGGACGGGACAGGGAGCCCGTCCACAAACAAGGAAAGGCTCACACTTGCTCTCGGCAGCCCTGGGTGGCGGGCAGGCGGGCCGGCCCAGAGCCCCCCGCGGGCTCTTCTCCGCTTCCTTGTACACCACCTGCAAGACAGGGACGGCGGTGCTGCCGCTGCGGGTGCAGGACACGGCACTGCTCCCTGCTGGGGTTCGGTGTGGCCCCGAAAGCCCCCTAAGGACAAAGGTCTGATGGGGGCAGCCCCACATTCACTCGGGCAGTTAGCAAACGTGAGCAGCTCCCTGGGGAGTGACAGGCTCGGAGTGAGGGACCGTGTGACCTGGCTGACAGGCAGCAGCGAGTACCCCGACTTACGTCCCCGAGGCCTGGGGACAGCTGACTGCCTGACACACACACGCCCCAGCCGCCAGCACAGCCCTGCTCCCTCCCGTCTTCACTGAACCTCCCGGCTCCGGGGCCGCCTGACCTCACACTGTCCCTGCAGCCCCCGCAGCTCAGGTCGTCACACACCTGCCCCCTTACTGAGGGCCCCTCTGTGGGCGAGGAACTCCCCAGACCAGGCTCTGTGTCCCCACTGCCCCTCACCCCCCAGCACCTTCCCACCTCAGTCTCGCCCCGCTGCCTGGCACACTCCTCCCCATCCTGCACCACGTCCCACGCGTCTGCCCCGTCCCTCGGTGGCAGCGTCCCCACCCACCCTGGGAGACACCAGCTCTCCCAGTCTCGCCCTCCACCGGGCAGGGCTCGACGGCTCTGCGTGGCGGGCAGGAGGCCGGACAGTGCAGGAGCAGATCAGAGATGAGCCATTTGGGGGGATGCAGGGCAAGGACACCGCCTGGCGCCCCATGGGAGTGTGGGCAGGAAAAGGCCCTGGCAGCGAGTCTGGCTGTCCCGGTCCCCTGGCCGCAGGATGGAGCCCTGCATCGCAGCATCACCGCCTCCCAGCGCCGCTCCCATGGAGACAGGTGCCGCTTACCACTCGCGGGTCACTGATGGCCGCGGGGTGCCCAAACTCGGTGAGCATCTTCCAGGTCACGTGATTGAGGATGCGCACCTGAGGGAGGGCCACGCATGAGACGCACTGCGTGGGGACACCCGCCACCCGGGCCGTCCTGGGGCTCCCTACGGCGGGCGCCCTGCCCACCTTCCCGTCGTAGCTGCCGACCGCCAGGAACTGACTGCTGGGGCTCCAGGCCACCGACTTGATGCCCAGGGACCACTCGTACGCGCAGTACGTGGCCAGCAGCCGGCCGTCCAGGGAGTAGAGCAGGACCTTGTACTGCAGGGGAGAGGGCGCCGTTAGCTGAGCGCCCACTAAGCCGGGCGAGCACAAGGGCACAGACGGGAGGCGAGGACGAGCGGGGCCGGACTCCGCCCAAGCAGCACAGGGACCCGGGGCGGTAGCTGGGGGAGGTGGTCGCTAGACAGCGGTGAGGTTTGCGGACGGGATCGGCTGTCAACGGCGCCGCAGCCGAGGAAGCGAGGATGAACGCGGCAAAGCACCTCCAGGCAGGTGTCCCACGCCGCCAGCACGCAGCCGTTGGGCGCCCACTCGATGCCGGCGAGGTCCTGGGTGTCCGTGTCAAAGTGCTGCCACGGGAAGGGGAGAAGCAGGTTACGCCGGGGCGGACGTGGGCTTGTACAGCCGATGTTGCTAATGCGCCCCGTGTGCACTTTCCTTAGACAGCAGCAGGTGGAAGGCTGCCACGCGTCCTTCCCGGTCGTCATGCGCCTGAGTGTCCGGAGGTCCGGGGGCGCAGCCTGGCCGCCCGGCAGGCACTGCCGGCTTCGGGTGCGGCTCCCACCTGTGCGCGCTCTCCCGGCCTGCTCCTCGCCTGGCGGCGGGCTGCCGAGCCCTCCCTGAGCTCTGACGGCGTTCCAGAGGGTTCTGTGCCCAGCCTGCCTGTCTCCCACCTGCAGCCGCGGGCACCTCCGAGCCCCGGGCCCTGGGGAGTCCAAGTCGGGTTCAAGTCCACACTCCGCCTGACGAGGCGCCACATGCCACGGACGGGCCGGAAGGGGAAGGGCTCCCGTTGGCCGGCAATCCCTCAGCACACCCCAGCCGCACCATCCCACCACGGCTCACACGCTTCACCTGTGGGTGCTCCATGGAGTCGCAGGTAGCACCCGCCCTTGGAGATGGGAGTCCCGTTTCCCACAGGTCCCCCCAGGGCCCGAGAGCCTGAGGACAGGCGCACCCGCTCCCTGCCACGCGGCGAGGACAATGGTCCCCGCGGGAGGAGTGCTCACCCGCAGCAGCTGCCAGTCGCTGCAGACGAAGATGCTGACGTAGTCCTTGCAGTCCCGTCTCTCGGCCAAGGCCAGGTAGCGGCCGTCCCGGGAAAAGGCGATTCCTGCCAGCAAGAGGAACGGGCGGAATCAAGGCCAGACGGAAGGCAGGCCAGGGTGGTTTAAGGAAGAAGGGGCAGGGCGGCCCAGGCAGACACGGCAACGCGGGGGCGAGGGCAGTGCGGTCTGGCTCCTGCGGGCGCGCACCTGCCGGGAGCCCGTGAAGAGGAGGCAGCCTGCCCGAGGACCCGGTGGCTGCACACGCAGCCCGGGCTGTCCTGGCGTCAGGACACAGACCACAGGGCTCTCCGCCGTCGGGATCAGCCTGTCCCTACGCTTCTACTGTTACTTCTGAACCTAATTCCTTGGAAGGAGCTTCGAGATAAGCCGCTGGAAATGTTACACCGCATTTCCTGTCGGAACGAGCTGACAACGCCCAGGTCACACTTCCTGCAGCCTGAGTCGGAGGGTCGTGTCCACGCGGCCTCGGGAGACACCCGCTTTCAAACCAGAAGTAAATGTCAAATGTACCACCGCCCCTCATCCAAACGCAAGCTCCAAACTGCCGAGGCCACAGAGCAAAGGGGGGAACCACTCAATATGCAAGGCCTCCCCGCTGGCCGCATGGAGGACGCATCACTGTAGCTGCATTGAGCAGGACGCCCACCCAGCCTCGTGGCCCACCCACCTCAGCGCGGGTGTGTCTGCCCCGCCTTCCCCATGGCTAGGGGACACCGCCCCTCAGCCCTCCTCTGGGATGTCCAGATGGGGCAGGTCACCATGTCCCTGGACAGAGACCACAGACTGAGTCAACAGAAGACTGAGATTCAGGGTTCAGAATTCGAGGCGTGAAGTGGGGCCCCTCAGCCCTGAGACAGGGCAGGGCGGCCATGGAGCGCCTCGACTCTGATGCCCTCACACAGGCCGCCTCAGCCCCTGGAGCATTTGAAGGGGTCCTGGTCTTTGGAGGCGCGGGAAATATTCATTCACGGACGAACATTCGGAGGTGGACAGGCTTTAGAACAACCCGAGGGGAAAATGAGATAACCGGGGGGCCCGGGGGAGGTAACATGACCCAAGGGTGGGGGGCTCGGGCAGACAGAGCGGCTGGGGGCCGACACACTGACGGCGGAGGCACTGCAGCCTGTGGCTGAAATTTCCCGATAAAAAGAGCAAAGGACCCAAAGCAGCGCCCGAGGCCTGGACCCCGTGGTCTGCGCACTCACCCTGCTGACAGGCCTTCGGGTACTTGATGTACGAGACGGACTTTGTGCACAAGGACCAGACCGTGATCCGCAGCTGTCGGGAGGAGGGGGAGCACACGTTACACTTCCAGAGAGAGCGCCCGAGCCCTGGGGGAGGCGGCACTGAGCCGAGCCAGGCCACAGAGGGAACGGTCTCGGGGCAGGGCTGGCCCTGGCCCTCGGTGGGCACCACGCTCACCTCCCCCTGCACTACAGCCACCCTCTCCACTGTTGTCACTTTGCAGCAATGCCATCTGAGTGACAGAGAGTGAAATGAATAATGCACGAATGTCGATGTTCATGCCGGGCAGGTCGGTGCTGCGTGGCGGCTGGCATATTGTCACGCACATCGCTGGTCTGAGGAGCAGCGTCCTGTGGGGAAGCACGCGGGACGCGGCCTCCTCGCTCCATGGAGTCGGCCTGGCTGCTCCTGGCGCCTGGGACGCTGGAGCGGTGGCCCAGCTCCAGGCAGGAGGCTGTGTCCTGAAACGCTGACCCGCTGCTTCTGCCCACGGTCCGAGAGAACCACGGAGGCAGCCCGTCCACGTCCCTGCCCTCCCTCACCGGCCGGCGCAGAAGGACCGAGAACCTGGGGGGCGGGGGGCAGGCCCCTGTGCTTAGGAGGACGACCTCGGGTCGGGACGAGAGCCGTGGCCTTTCACTCAAACCAGCGCATCTGCATCCGACACTGAGGCTCTCAGCGCCCCTCCACCGCGCCCACCCCCTCTGGAGCCTGAGAGCAGCCGCCCCGACCAGCACGGCTCCACTTCTCTGTGGAAAGGCTCTCCCTGCCCTCCCGTCTGTGAGAGCTGAGCCGCAGCTGCAGCCGCCTGCCGAGGAGACCCCAGCTGGGCCGGGCCGTGGTGAACAGAGACCTGACTACACAAACCACAAAAGAAAAAGGACCGTGTGCCTGGCCGGTGTGGTTCAGTGGTTGAGCATCGACCTGTGAACCAGGAGATTGTGGTTTGATTCCCATGGGGCACCTGCCCAGGTTGCAGGCTCGATCCCCAGTGGGGGGCGTACAGCAGGCAGCCGGTCCATGATTCTCTCACTGATGTTTCCAACCACATGACCCTGAGGCACGTGTAAACTGTGTTTGTGAGTGCGTGTGAGTACCTGTGAGTGCACACTGTGAGTGCACGAGCGAGTGTGTGTGTGCATGAGTGCGCTTGTGTGCAAGTGCGTGTATACGAGTGTGAGTGTGTGCATGAATGTGTGTGCGCGTGTGTGAGTGCGTGTGCATGTGCGTGTGAGTGCGTGTGTGCGTGTGAATGTGTGTGTGCATGTGCGTGTGTGTGTGAGTGCATGTGTGTGAGCGTGCGTGTGTCTAAAAACCAGACGGGAAAGCACTCACCTCACCAATAGGCAGAGAAGTGGAAACCAAAGCCCAAGGGCAGTCCACGCAGCCGCACGGGGCGGGCGATCGCTCTGCGCCGCCTCCCACCGCCAGGCCGCCCACAGGCCCATCCCAGAGGACGGCTCATACCGGCCCAGGAGACACAGCAGACTCCCGGCTACGTGGGTCCCAACACCTCAAATGCTCGGCAAAGGTAGGACGGCAAGTGAAGCGGGGGGTTTCCCACAAGGAATGCAGGGACCAGCCATGCCTTCCACATGGGGGCGTCTCAGAAACATGCAGCAGGGGGAGCGAGGACCTCGGACAGAGGACAAAGTCAGGCAAACGGACCTGAACAGGTGCAAACCCACAGTGCAATGTCGACACACACACTCACACATACACAACCACACATGTGGGCACACAGATACATACACAACCATACGTATGGGCACATAGGTACACACACTCACACACAACCACACATATGGGCACAGACACACACACACAACCACATGTATGGACATACAGCCACACATATGGACATAGATACACACATTCAACCACACATATGGGCACCTGGATACACACACACAACCACATGTATGGGCACACAGATATACACTCACACATACAACCACACGTGTGGGCACACAGATACACACACGCCCCTCAAGGAGCGCGAGGACTGAGTCACAAGACATGCAGCAGCCGGGAGCACTGGCTGGGGGCGCGCCGGGTCGGGGCCTGCCTTCCAGCCCAGACCTGACGGAGCGAATGGCTCCTGTGTCCCTGCTCACAGAGGCCGGTCCGAGGGGCAAAGCCTCCTTCACGCTGCCCTGCGGAGGGGCCGCCACCGGCCGCTGGAGGGAATCCCGGCCCAGGGAGCCGAGTGCGAGGACTGTGCCCGCGGCAGCACGAAGAGCTCCAGGGATCACGTCTGAAACCGGAGACGAGCACCTCTAACGTGTCGGCGTGTCCGGGGCCGAGACCAGGAGCCGTGCGTCCCGCCTCTCCCCGCGGCCCGTGTGGCTGGCGAGTCAGTAACAGGGAGGAGCAGAGCCAAGGCCACTCTGACAGCAGGTCGTCCCGGCAGCTTCGCCAGGACGCTGCGGTGAGCTCCCCCGGGAGCCGCGGTCCCGCCCTGCAGGTGGCTGGGCGGAGGGACGGGACGGGGACACGGGACGCCTGCCCAGTAAAGCTGGCGATGCCGGGAAGGTACCCGCTTGTCAGTCACGGCTGGGAGCAGGTCACTGGCCAGACTGGGCGCGGCGACTGAGGGCACGAACCTGGGACGTTAACCCGAGCAGAGGCGTTCGCTCCCTCGGCTCCTGCGTGTCCCGCCGGCCTCCTGGAGGCCAGGCTCCCTCGCTCCGCTCCTGGCATCTCCCCACGCGGCTCACGGCCATGTGGACCCCACGCTGCGCTGAGGGACTGCAGCCGCTCATGCCTGGACCGGCTGCGACACGGGGCGGAAGGGGGGCCCTGGCCTTGCCTGCAGCTACACTTCCCCCGGGACTGGAGCCGGGCTTTGGATTTATTTCCGCACAAATAAAAACCACTCACCTCCATGCGAGTCTCAGAAAACTCTGTTCCTCGAGGTATCGTAAGGACCCCCCCAGCACCCAGTGGGGAAGGGCTCCCCGATTTCTGACATCACAGCAGCAGGCCCCAGGTCCCAGGGTCTGACTGACAAATCCGCGAAGCCAGAGCGGCCTGAAGCAGCTCCTCACAGCTGGACAGAGGGTCTACCCTGAGGGGCCCTTGAAAAAGCCGAGTGAACCCCGAGGTTGGCTGGGAATCAGTGTGCCCGCCCCACGTGCGAGCTGTCAGCTTGGCCGAGCCTGGAGCCGGCGCCACGCCGCCCGCAGCCCTGCCCGCCGACCGCACTCAGGGTCAGGCCCACACGCCGGGGCCTAAGGCGCCTCAGAAAAGCGCAGGGGCGGGATCTCTGCCCACCTTTCTGTCTCCAAAATGCACGCAGACCCCGGGCACCCGGCACAGGCCGTGCCCTCACTGGGCGCTCCTGGGAGGGAGGCCCCACTGAGCGCTCGCATTTACCCAGCCCCAGCCCCGCCGGGCAGAACCGCCAGCGGGTGTTCGAAGAACAAACCCACGATGCGGTCACCGACACCCCCAGGTCAGACACCCCCTCGGAAAGATGTAAATCAGTTTGTACTGATGCACATTCTCTATTGTGAAGTCCCAGGAACTGTTTAAAGCCTTAAAATGTGACTTAGGGTTTACTTTTTAAAAATGTGTTCATTTTCCTTTAAAACTGGGCAAGAAGATTAAATATCACCTCTTCGGGGCTTGCTGTGCTCGGACGACTGACATAAATAACCCCCCAAAGTCCCCGAGGGAGCTCAGGGCCCATGTCCCAGCGCGCTGTGCGGGGCAGGGGCGGGGCCGCTCACGTGGAACTCCGTGGTGTTGAGGATGTGGCGCCCGTCGGGGCTCCAGCAGGAGGCCACCAGCCCCGCGGAGCCCTCGTCGATCCTGCAGTGCCACTCGGGCTGCTCCAGCGACCACACCTGGCCCAGGAGAGACGCGGATCACAAACCACCCAGGGCAGCACTGACCCTAACACCACTGCGGTCCAGGCACGGGAAGCTGCCCCCCTCTCTCTACGCTGGGCCGGCGGGCACACCACCAGTCCCCACCCTTCTGGGGGTGAAGGGAGGGGTCATTAATGCCGCACTGGCCAAGCTCCCAAACAAAGCCTCGTCTCAGGGCTTCCCAAATGCCCACGCCCAGCTGCCCGCCCTGGTCTGCACGCTCTGCCTGCGGCCCAACAGCTATTCGGTTCCAGGTGAGGAACATTTACCTGCAGGGAGGGGGGGGCGGGGTGGCGAGGTCAAGGGGAAACCAGCAAACAAAGGGGACATCTGCAGTACTTTCAACAATAAAGGTAAATCTTCAACAACAACAAAAAGCATACTGAAGTGTTTCCCATTTGGAAGGACCTGAACTGAGAGAACTACCAGTTTTCACAGGGAGCGGCTTTAAGGGGCCTTTTTCTCAAGCCAGAAGGGCAGAGGGCAGCGAGGGTCTGCAGGGCTCGCCGGGGACGGCGTCCAGCCCGTACCTGCACCAGCCCCCGCTTGTACATGGCGCACAGGATGAAGAGGGAGTCGGCCGACCACTCCACGTGCTGGATCTGGTCCAGGCAGCTGTACAGCTGGAGGATCTGAAGGCTGCCCACCTCCCGGACCACCAGGCGGTACTGCACGCAGGAGGCCTAGACACGGGAAAGAGGCGCTGATGTCCTGCTCCGGGGGGGGGGGGGGGGGCGTTCCCCAGGGGCGCCCTCGCGGGGAAACCTGCGGCCCCTCTCCTCTCTGACATGTTTTCTATCTAGAAGGTTCCAGGTTTACCACCAAGTACACGGCCCATTCTGAAAATGAGTCAATAAGAAGATAGAGTTGAAATATACAAACCAGATGTTAAAACCATTACATTTCAGCATAAAGTATTATTATAACACTCTCTGCTGAAGTAATTGTCTGCTCCTTTCCTATTTCTTTTATAATATGTACTAGAGGCCCGGTGCACAAAAATTTGTGCACTGGGGGGGAGGGGGAGTCCCTCAGCCCGGCCTGTGCCCTCTTGCAGTCTGGCACCCCTCGGGAGATAACGACCTGCTGGCTTAGGCCTGCTCCAGGGTGGCAGAGGGCAGGCCCAATCCCTAGGTGCAGCCCCTGGTCAGGCTCAGAGTAGGGCCGATTGGGGAGTTGGGGCGCCGCCCCCTGTCATGCACAGAGCAGGGCGGATTGGGAGGTTGCGATGCCACCCTCAGTCACGCTCAGGGTAGGGCCAATTGGGGGGTTGGGGCACCGCCCCCTGTCACACTCAAGGCAGGGTCGATGGGGAGGTTGCGGCACCACCCCCTGTCACGCACAGAGCAGGGCCGGTCAGGAGGTTGGGGTGCTGCCCCCTGTCACGCACAGAGCAGGGCCCATTAGGGGGTTGGGGAGCTCCCCCCTGTCACGCACAGAGCAGGGCCGGTCAGGGGGCTGGGGCGCCACCACTGTCACACTCAGGGCAGGGCCGATGGGGAGGATATGGCTCTACCCCATCACACACAGAGCAGGGCCCATTGCGGGGGGAGGGTTGGAGCACCGCCCTCTATCACCCACAGAGCAGGGCTGATCAGGGGGTTGGGGTGCCGCCACTCCCACACTCAGGGCAGGGCCGATGGGGAGGTTATGGATCTACCCCGTCACACAAAGAGCAGGGCCCGTGGGGTGGCGGGGTTGGGGCACTGCACCCTGTCACACACAGAGCCGCAGTGCGATCAGGGGGTTGGGGCGCCTTCCCCTGTCAGGAACTGAGCAGGGCAGATCGGGAGGTTGTGGCCCCACCCCCTGTCACACACAGAGCCACAGGGCGATCAGGGGGTTTGGCCCTGCCCCCTGTCATGCTGATCCGGTGCCTGGGGGCCTCGCGGCTCCACTATCCCGGTGCTGGGAGGCATATTACCCTTTTACTATATAGAATAGAGGCCTGGTGCACGGGTGGGAGCCGGCTGGTTTGCCCTGAAGGGTGTCCTGGATCAGGGTGGGGGTCCCCACTGGGGTGCCTGGCCAGCCTGGGTGAGGGGATGATGGCTGTTTGCAGCTGGTCACACACCCTTCAGGGTGGGGGTCCCCACTGGGGTGCCTGGCCAGTCTGGGTGAGGGGCTGAGGGCTGTTTTCAGGCTGGGACTGAAGCTCCCAACTGTTCCTTTTTTTCTTTCTTTTTTTATTCTGGGCCAGCTTTAGCTCTGGCTCCAGCTCTGAGGCCTCTGCTGCTGAAAGAAGGTATCTGGTTTGTTTAGGTTCTATAATCAAAACAATGTAT